AAAGGTCAGGATCGGCACAATGACCCACTTCCGTCGAAGCAGGTTAATTCGTGGACTAATAGGTAAGTTTTTCATAAGTAATAAAACACTTTATTCCTTTCGGATAACGAATAAAAGTATCGAAAAAAGTTTGTATTAAAATAAAAAATTCTTTTCCGGCATTCAACGTGTTGAACGACTTATTAGTTTATTTGTTATTCATGAATAACGAATAATTCCAGATTATTCTTAATTTAAGCCGATATAACATCTGCCGCACGCTTCCCTCGATACCGACGCTGTGCCAGTGCGGTATTTGTAAAATTTTCACCTAATGCATCACACAGCATATTTAAATAGTTTTATTTCTAACTACTGTCATATTATTTATGCATATTACAATGTGTTGCATTAGAATAAAAAATTCTTTTCGGCACGGTGGCTAAGTTACGTAGAATTGGTCCGGCATTCGATGTGTTAAACGACTTATTAGTTTATTTGTTATTCATGAATAACGAATAATTCCAGATTATTCTTAATTTAAGACGATATAACATCTGCCGCACGCTTCCCTCGATACCCACGCTGTGCCAATGCGTTTGTTCACGATCGTGCGCGGATGAGTCCCTGGGCGCGAGTTCTACGCGCGCTCTGATTGGCCAGTGTTTTTCGTTAATGATTCAAAAACGAAGCTTCAACCAACATTTTGGTAAAGGAAAAAGTTGTTCAGAGTCACCCCAGCAACCCCCCCCCCTTTCCGGGTGTTACAGGAGTTATCGGACAACTTGTATATGTCACAATGCGAACAATGGCGTGGCGCAGCTAGTCCAAGGGGGGTCTGGTCAGTCGAAGTGAGGTTTGGCACCTCGGTCTGACGGCCAAATGTAGTGAAATGTCTTTCTGGTAGTGAAAGTAACGTGTGTTGATTTCGTTTCGTTTACTTGTATTCGCGATTTACTACACCATTGTTCTATTAGGATCAGTTTGCCTGCAATTTCTCAAAAGCTTTTTCTTGATTCTCACTTGATGTGAGGATCCTGTATCGTCCGTGAATGTTGCAGTTAATGTATCGTGTGTGGTTGGTAAGTCTGATGTATATATGATGTATAGGATTGGTTCTATTTAGTAGGTACGCTGCCTTGGGGAACGCCCACTTCTATTGGATACAGAGTGGATGTCTCCTTTTGGTATTTTATTTGGAAGAATCTCTAAGACAGATATGATTTTAAGATGAAATAAAAGTGACATGGTAATTTTTCCTTTATTTCGTATAATAGTACGGGATACTAGACTGTATCCAATGCTTGGCTTACATCTAGGGATGCGGCTGAGCAATATTTTTTTCTTCCAGACTAGTTCGAATTATTTAGCTACGCGATGTTCGATCCGCGTATCGACCCGTTTCAAAAATTTCCCTGCAACAGGGAATATTAATACGAATACAATCAATATTAGAATGTGACGTTTTAATTTCTGTAATATTGAATTTACAAAAGTGAAAGTATTACAGAGGTATTTGAATTGTGTTCCGGTCAGTTCATTTTTATCTTTATACCATAATCAAAGTTTCAGTAGAAATTCCGTAAAACCGGAACACATTTTAACTATTGCTATTAAATTCTGATGCTGGTTGAATTTATTCTAATGTCTTCTACGATTCTATGAAAATACAAATTGGGTAAATTTACTTAATCTGATCTTAATTTGTTGTAAAAAGAAGTATTCTGAAATGTTTCTTACTGTTTTATGTTATCCATTCAATACGATTCATTCTTGTCACATTACTGCAAATGGCTAAAACATCGTATGCGCCGCTCGAGCGTACACATTCTATGCAATAAAATTATAAAAAATTTGTCAACAAAATCGGTGAATGGTAACAAGCTTTCTAAAACTTGCTAAAACTTGAATATTTTATGTAGGAATCTTAAAAGACCATTACATGTATGTTAGATTTTGTTGCAGAAATAAATAAGTGTTTTCATTGGATAAAGTTGTTAAAGTTTTGTTACCTTGTACGTCTCATCAATTACTTCTGCAGGTTGTTTCGACAGAAAGTCATACTCAGGTTCCGCAAGATTATTCTTTACGACAGGCGTTTCGTCTTTCGATTTTACTGGTATTTGCGAGGGCAATACAGAACTCTTTGTCATTATCTGCGTTTGAATGTTTAGTTCCTGAAAGATTCATTACATTTAATAAGTACAAAAATTTATATAAACAACTTTTGATAAACATATGTTAGCGACAACGTATTTTTCTGTCACGGTATTTTTATGGTACTTTTTGTCATTGAAACGGCCAATACTGCTACATTTTGCATAAATTGTTACACTTTATTTTTGTTTATGATAATAATGTATAGTGTATTTAATGTAAATAGATAAGTGATATCATGTTTACAGTTTTACACGGTAATAATTTTTGTTACATGGAGTATGAAACTAATATTTTGTCAATTTGCCTCTGTTGTCTGTTATTTCTTTTATTCTCTTTGACACAGGGAAGACCGGAGTCGAAAGTAACAATTTGACTTTGGACTACGTTTACGCAAAAACTATTACATTTACAAAAAAAGTTTTTATACCAAAATCCTACATAGCTATCTGACATTTTTGAGTCACAGCAGTTTCGCTTTATGACAAGTAATGTCCAAGTTATTAATTCGAAATGGAGTCCGGAGAAAGTGTTACAACCGTCCCGTAACCCGAGGCGGTTGTAACACAGCATGAGGTCGATAGTAACACAATATTTTTTTTAAATCTAAATATTTATTAAACCAAATTATAACACTAAATGAAAAGAAGTAAAATAATTGTATTCATACAAAAAGAAAACTAAATATACATCAAATTCTTTAAAAAATTACAATATTTTTATCTGATTACAGATTATTCGGTTAGATAATTATAACAAACGTATAAGTCATGTTGTTTAGTGTATTCTTCATGTGCCGAATCGTTACACTCCATGCACTGCACTCATCTTTCATTTGGCTTGCTGGAACTATATGAATCGAAGCATACAAGGCAAAAATACTCCTTATCTTTTTCATCATTACGTTCTTCATTCCTGTTCTTGCTATTGTTGTTTTTACAATTTTTTCCTTTCAAATTCGGATTATCTGTTTTCATCGTTTTCCTCTGTTTTTCTTCATATTCTACTGATACTTTCTTTGTCACAAGCGTCAGTGCAGATAGTCGACTTTCTTTTCTTTCTACCTGTACGATGCTCGACTCGTGAACGAGACTGTTTTCAGCTCGAACGCGGTTAGTACCGTTGCGCTCCCGATGTGTTAATCCCGGAAGGGCAAAATTCTAGTAGTTAGTGTGGTGATGGTGAAAAAGAGGTTTCTTTCGTAAGAATATTTTTGAACTCATTTATTTGTGGTGGTGCGTGGGTTCGAACGCGGTTAGTACCGTTGCGCTCCCGATGTGTTAATCCCGGAAGGGCAAAATTCTAGTAGTTGGTGTGGTGATGGTGAAAAAGAGGTTTCTTTCGTAAGAATATTTTTGAACTCATTTATTTGTGGTGGTGCGTGGGAATATATTAGGTCGGTGTATGTTGTGATTGGTTGGATGTTGAAGGTGGTGGAAAAGAAGGACTCGAAAAATGCGGAGGTGTGATTGGATATTAGGAAACTGGTGGAAGGAGAACGTGAGGGTGAAGGTGGTGTGTAAAAGTTTAAATAATTTGGGGAAAACCCGGAAAGGGGAAAAGGGATAGGAAACATGACCAGGATGCGACTTGAACTGCTTTATGCCAGGGAAGGAATTTGTTAGGGGCTAGGAAGACGGCTGGAAAGGACTGTTTATTAGTTTATGATGTGTTACTGGCCGGTGCGCTGCGCGACTGGACACTACCTTTATTTAAATCTTGAATCTCTTCTGAGCCGTCGTGCTGTTCGGACGTGTTTACATTTCACTATGCTGATAATATCACAACAGAAGTGGAAAACCCGGAAAGGGGAAAAGGGATAGGAAACATGACCAGGATGCGACTTGAACTGCTTTATGCTAGGGAAGGAATTTGTTAGGGGCTAGGAAGACGGCTGGAAAGGACTGTTTATTAGTTTGATGCGCTGCGCGACCGGACACTACCTTTATTTAAATCTTGAATCTCTTCTGAGCCGTCGTACTGTTCGGACGTGTTTACATTTCACTATGCTGATAATATCACAACAGAAGTGACAATTGCTATTGAACTCTGTGTAACGGTTCTAATTACTATTATCTAAAAATCGCATAACGACTCGGCGGAAACTGAGTTTCTCACTCTGCGCATTAAAAGGTGTAAGGCGATGGGTACCGAGCCCTTGTTAACAACAGAAAAAGACCACATATCAATTTTGTACAAAAAATATGCGACGGACACCGAAACAGAACAGGCTACTATAGAATGCTGGAAACTAGCTAAGCAAATTAAAAAAAGAAAACCGGTTATCAACTCAGAAACATCAGAAACGAGATTAAAATTAGTTAGACTGAAAAACAAAATGGTTAGAAGACCTGTTATTGTATCAGAAGAGCAACAAACAGACACGAAATATTATGAAATTTAAATCATGAAACAAAAAATAAAACTGCTACTTTAACACTCAAACCACTATCTATTTTTATTGAAGCTCCTACCATCGATCCTCTCATGGGAATGCAAAAACAATTAATAGAACTTGTGGTGTCGTATCGGTCCACGAATACGGGACTTGGATCACGACGAGTGGAATGACTTATACAGAGAAACAAGCGAGACTCTGGAGTACAAGTTTATTTGTTTAATTGGTACAAGGTACAAGTCTCGGCTTGTGGTTCTGCGGCAGGTTCGACCGATCGTTTTTGTGTGTATCGTTCGGTGCTCGAAGAAAGACTGCTTGAAATTTTGGAGGAGGACAGGAAATGAGAGTTGGTGTAAGCGGAGTTAATTTTTGGGGGCAGAATGTTGGAACGACAGAAATTCGGTGATTGGTCTTAGGATATTTTGTAAGAAGATAGGAAAAAGGTAAAAGTGGGGATGGAAGGTCGAGGTGGCTAGGGTTTGGAAAATCCCAGTAGGAAAGGAAATCGGACATCAGAAAAGGAAAAGACTAGTTTGCTAATTAGAAAATTAGTACAATGGATAGTAAAAATGTGCTAAACTGTCGTTCGGTAAACGTTTTACGGGGGGTATGCTCATCTGACGGTCCCGTTAATCCTCTGCGTCATGGCTCTGTCAGGCCCGTTTTACGATTTTTAGAAACTATTGTTCAGTACGGAACAGAACTCAAAGAGTTTTTATCGAAACAGGTAAAGGACAAACAAGTAAAATTATAAACACACATCGCAGATATTTACAGATCAGTAATCAGAACATTTAGAATTAAAAACGAAGATTACTATACTTACCTACCAAAAACAAAAAGCAAACGGTCTAGCCGAATAAGCGTGGTAAAAGTGCCCCTAAACCAAATGAAACGTGTGATACGTCAATTGAAAGAGCTTCCTAGGAAGACAATTTCCTGAAAGTTTTAGCCCTCTACCCCTATTATTAGAGTAGTTATCGGCCTAAACATCATTTTCATTTCATGCTGGATTTCTTTTGTTCAATCCAATAAAAAAATCTGAGGTACTATAGCCAGAGTGTTACACATCTAAGAATTTGTTCAGATTTTTTAAAAGCCTGCGTCATAGTTAAAAAAATTTAAAACCACTATTTTTTACTGTTCCGTGCACGTAAGAGTAACTTCTAGTGACAACAGGAGGCGTTTAAATTAAAAAAAAATATGATTACACTCCTTGAAATTCTATCTACAAAATGAGCCCTTTTGTAGGATGGAGAGTTTATTGAGCAATGACACCTTATTCACAAATAATCAACGAGCAAAGAAACTGACATCTATAAATCAGGTTGTAATTGAAAATACGTGCAAAAGGGCTCATTTTGCAGGTAGAATTTCAAGGAGTGGAATCGTATTTTTTTTTTAAATTTAAACACCGCTTGCTGTCACTAGAGGTTACTCTTACGTACACGGAACGGTAAAAAATAGTGGTTTTTAATTTTTTTAACTATGAGGCAGGCTTCTAAAAAATCTGAAAAAATTATGAGTTAATAAACATGACAGAGAGCTTCTACTGTAAAAATATAAATGTTGTCATTTGATAACTTCAATAAAAAATTGGCATTTTAAATGTTATTTAATTTTTAAAAAATAGGTTTTTCATTCGAAAAATCTGAAAAATTCTCAGATATGTAACACTCTGGCTATAGTATCTCAGATTTTCTTCATAATTTTTTATCGGATAGAACAAGAGAAATCGGATTAGATTAGATACAACCCGAATGTCAACAAGTGTTAAATCTCTTAACCAGATTAATAATGTTACAGGAGTCAAATAAAATATTTCATTTTTTGTTTTTATATCTATATTACATTTACAATTGGCTCTGTTGAGCCAACCAGCAAATTTAATAATGTGGGTGTCGTGTGCGTGTGAATAATACTCAATAGTGTTTCCACTCTTATCTTATTCTTCGCCAGTTCGTTAGGATATATCCCTAGTTTGTTATTGTGTGTTGTTGTAAATTTTTCAATTTGTTCTTTTACGTATTTTATTCCTAGATGTTTATGGAGAGTTTCTCGGCTGACATACCAGGGGGCGGCTGTTATTGTTCTTAAGGCTTTATTTGAAAATCTCTGTATAATATTCAAATTAGTTTTTTTTAGCACAGTCCCGGAGTTGGATACCATACGTCCATATTGGAGTAATCGCAACTTCGTATAGCAGCAACTTTTTTTTGCAATGAGAGAGGAGATTTGGATCCTAGAATCCAATACAATTTTTCATTTTCATATCTAGTTGTTTTCTTTCCATTTTGATGTGAATTTTCCACGTAAGTCTTTTGTTCAGGTGTATACCAGGATATTTGACGCTATCTTTTGTGACGAGACTCTCATCGTTTATCTTCATTTCCGCAACATGTTTTGTTGTAAAAGTAATGTGGCTAGACTTTTTTGTATTGATTTTAATTTTCCATTTTTAGCCCATTTTTTAGCATATGTAACTGTTATTACTTTTTCATTACGTGGGAGGTCTGTTGTGAAAATTTGATATAAAGCGGGCCCTAATATGCTTCCTTGTGGAACGGAACGCCAGCTAGGATCGTGTATATTTTGGAATAACTGCCATTTTGGTTCACGTGA